CTGCCTCAGCCTCCTGAGTGCTGGGGTGACTAGTGTGCACCACCTCACCTGGCAATTTATCAGCATTCAGACCCCCAGGCCAGTGAGGGTGATCTGGGGTTGCTCCAGGTTCTCTGGCAGCAGAGAAGAGACGCGTGCGTTGCTGTGGCTGTCCTAGCATGGCCAGCCCTGTGCTTGGAGCCCGCACCTCCTGGCCACCACCTGACCGCCTCTGCACAGCAACCAGGTTTGAGCTGGTCCACCATCTGCTCACTGTCACACTGCCGAGACGTGGCAGACTTGTGTCCTCGATGGTTCCCGAGGCTGCACAGAAGCAGCTCGGAGCAGAGACCAGGCCGGAGGTTCGGGAACAACCCCCGTACGGCGCAAAAGGGCCTGGCTTGAGCAGGAGTACAGAGGAAGACTCAAGATAGGAGGGAAAACCAGGTGTCCAAGGTGAACTCGGGAGACCGAGGCAGGAGGATTATGAGTTCAAAGCCAGCCTGGGCAAGCTAGCACCTTGTCTGAAAAGCAAACAAACAAACAAACACAGGTGCCAGGTGTGTTGGAGCATGCCTGTCATCCCAGCACTTGGGAGGCTGAGGCAGGAGGATCTCTGGGATTCCAGGCCAGCCTGGGCTACACAGTGAGTTCATGGTCAGCCAGGACTCAACAGCGAGACCCTGTCTCAGAAAATCAAAACCAACCAAACAAACAAAAACAGAGAGGAAAAGATGGAAGGAGAAAGGCCTCCTGGCAGGAGGGAGAGAGCCATTCCTAAGCTCAAGCTCGCTACGGCGTTCAGGCCCAGGCTGCTGTCACCTCCCTCCCCCAGGCCTCTTAGCAGACCGCTCACCAGCAACTGCAACCAGCTGCAGATCCCAAAGGGGACCTGCTTGCTCAGGGCACTGTCCTTAACATGGCGATCTAGGTGACAAGCCACCCACCAGTCACCTAGCTAGAGAGCTCGTTGGGGTGAGACGACCACAGGCAGCTGAGTAAGCCAGGGCAAGGAGGTGGCGCTGGATGAAGGGGGCACAGGGCTGAACAGAGCAGGAGAGATCCATACCCCCACTCCCACCCTTAAGGCACTGCTTTCCTACAGGGACCCGGGAGCCAGCAAACTGCGGGGCAGCTTGGCTCACACCCACGGAAATGAGCTTGAGGCGGAGCAGAGTCTTAAATGGAGGGGCTAGAACCCTACCGTTCCTCAAGACCCAGGACAACACCCTGATGCCCTTGGTGTTGCTATACGTGGCGGCAGAACCTATAGAAAAAAACTGATACACTCAACTCTAAAAATTAATTCTCGTTTTGCAAACATCCCTGTGTAGGGAGGAGAAAGACAAGCCACAGGATGGGAGAAAATGTTTTCAAGAGCAGACCTGATAAGGAACTGATAAAAGTCAACAGAAGGAATACAGATAACCCCAAATTTCAAACGGGGGAAACAAAACAGTATGAACAGACTCCACCAGGGAATGTAAGATAAGAAAATAAAAAAATGTGTTGGGGAGGCTGGTCAGTGATAGAGCACTGGCCCAGCATGTGCGAGGCCTTACACTCAATTCCCAGCACCATGCACGCACACGTGCATGCACACACATGCACACATACAGCTCAACATAATTTCTCATTAAGGAAATGCAAGTGTAAACAACAGCGAGATACTACTACACATCTCTTAGAAAGTCTAAAATTTTTTAAAGCTGACAATACCAGTCGCTCCCAAAGATGTGGAACAATGGGAACTGCCATCCTTCCGGGGGTGTGAGATGGTATAGCTGCTGCAGAAGACAGCACGACAGCTGGCACCGATATGATCCAGTGATCCCACACCTTAGTATTCACCTAAGTGAGCCGTGACAGCGTGTACAGAAACCTGTGTGGAAATGTTTCTAAATGCTTGCAGCAGCTTTGTTCATGTTTACCGAGGCAGCCTTCAGCAAGTGCGTGGAACTTCTGTACACAGGACACTACTTAGTGACAAAATAGAGCTGAGAAGCCATTGGGAAGGTTTCAATATATGGCCCTGGGGAAGGCGGAGGCATGGAGACAGCAAACAGATCAATCACTGCACAGAGAGAAGACACACTGGGCTTCAGGGAGCCGCTGTGTCCTTCCCTTTGGCAAAACCCACAGCATGGCATATCACAGAGCGGACCTTACTGTCTACGAGCAAGGGGACACAAGAAAACCCTGCCAGGGGAGTGGGGACACCCCAGAAGGAGCACAAAGTGACAAATGAGTCGGACTCCACTGTAAAGGCGTGGCATCGCCGGACGGAACGGGCGGGAGAGGCCGAGATGGTGGAGGTAACCAGGGAGAGCAAGGGGCTCCAGCTGGGAACACTGCTGCCCCGGAAGCTGGGTGCTGGGATGGGCTGCCAGCTGTGACTGGGAGGTGGGGTCGGGGTCAGGCCCTCACCAGAGCCAACACGGGGAGCCCACTGCCTCTCCTGCCTTCCACACGAGGGTAGCCAAGGGCCGGCGGGAAGATGGCCCGCTAGGCACCTAGAGCTGCACGCTGCCACCGAATGGGCAGTGGAGTGTGGGGAGCACACAGCTGGTCCCGCCACCCCCACCTGCCACCATGCTCGGAAACGCGAGCGCCACGGAGCTGTGAACGCGCTCACATCTCGGCTTCCAATGCCTTCCCCGTCCACTGGCAGAGAGGGATGCACTGGCCTGGACACACGAGCCAGAGTCCCCCGGGCAGGGCAGGGCAGGGCAGGGTGGCAGGGAACAAGGCAGTGAGTGAGGAGGGAAGAATGTCAGGAGAAGGTGATCAGCAAAGTCACAGGATTCCCGGGGACCACAGTGGGGAGGCGAAGCCAACACGGGGGTGAAACAGAACGGGCTCAAGTTCCTGACCCCAGCCGAGGGCCGGCCAAAGGGTAAAACTTGTGGGAGAAAGCGGGACAATCCCAGCCAGGCAGCAGGAGGGAGGGAAGGGTGTCACAGGAGGGTGCTGCCCACCGTCAGGGAAAGCACTGTCCCCCAGCCGACATACGGAACAACTCCACATACTATTTCAGAAACACACCGAAAGTACTGCTGAGGCCATGGCCTCAAGACCCGAAGCAGGGAATACACCCATAGGGCTCTTTTTCTGCCGACATGTGGACCGCCTGTAAATGCGAGGCCTTCCCTTGCATTCTGTTAGAGGAGTGCACCTCAGGGTCCTGTCCTGGACGGATCCCAACCAGGTCTCAGCCTCTCGCTTGTCCTTTCGCCAGGATGCCAGGATCTTCTGCTGCTGACACCCACAATGGCAGAGGCCGTAACTGTAGCTAACAACTGACTATTCTTTACAAGACGGGTTCCAACGTGAGCCCAGTTAAAGACATTCCTAGCTCTTCGGCTTTGTTGGAACAAGTCCTGTCGTGAAGAAAAGCCCGACACATCCTTCAGACCTTCAGCCTGGCCTCAGCTCCCATCTGGAAATGCCATTTGCCACCCAGGAGTAACTGGCTAACTTGCTGGCTTTGCCCTTTAAATGCTCTGTGTTCTCCTGACACCATGAGTCTCATTTCGAGGCTCACAGGGCTTTTTCCTAGAGATGGCACTGCGCGGGAAGGAGTTTCGAAGGACAGGTTCCACACTGCCCCCTTTGATCGGGAGAGAACACTGGTCCTGCATATAAGGCACCCAGCTCGCTCTCGAAAGGAGCAGCCTTCGGGGTTTCAGGTGACACCCAGGTTAGGGCCCAAGTTATGACCACAGCTTACATCCACGTGTGTGACTGCAACAGGCACAAGTTCCAGCCACAAGTCCCAACACTGAGTGTCTGGCTAGTAACCCTCACCATCCTCGGCGTCAGATCTGACGCATACTACAATGAAGAGGTTCCAGTCACCGGTAGTTTGGGGATGGAACCATTCAGCCCCTTGACCGTGCACACGTGATGATATTTCATAGGTTTTCATGAACACACAGACGTACGAGGGCATGCCAAGCGTGACAGACTGTGTGAGGGCTGTAGTGACCTCCTGGTACGGTGCTGTCAGCTTCCGGGTGGACAGCGTGCTGAGTACACAGGACGCAATCCGCAGGGCAGCTAGGCTGAAGGCACACACAAACTCTCCTGAACTATCTTTACAGCCTGTTTTGAGTCCTACACCATGAGGTCCAATCAGAAAATATGGTGAATGGCTAATTTTTAAAAAAATGTATTATATTCAAAGACACATTGCCGTGAATCCCCTCAGGACCCCCCCTCACTTTGAACACACTCATCCCATCATTCTTGCCACTTGCTGCAGCAGCTTTTGAGTCCTCTTTCTTGAGTGTCTTTAGTTGCACTGTCCTGGCTGCCTCCATATCCTGAATCGATTCAAAACATCTGCATTTCATGGTCATTTCGACTTTGGGGGGAAGAGCGAAAAGTCACACGGTGCCAGATCTGATAAATAAGGTGGACAAGGACACAGCGTCATGTTTTTGTGAGCTGCCTTTCTGTTGGATGGTGCTCGGCAGCAGCATCCCCCCTATTTCTGAGCACACTTTAAAAAGACTCTCACGAAAGAGGACTCCAGCGCTGCTTCAGGAAGTGGCGAGAACGATGGGATGAGTGTGTTCAAAGCAGCAGCTGGAGTGTGGAGTGCCACTGAGGGGGATCAATGGCAATGTGTCTTTGCAATAAATTTTTAAAAATGTAAACAATCACCCTATATTTTGATCACACCTCGCATTTCAAAATACAAAGGTATTTTAAAAGCCATCTTAAACAAACGTCTGTCACAACACGTCACTCTCCCGTCTGCACGAGAGACAGGCTCTAGTCATGCAGACTCTGCAGGCATGGAACGCCACCCAGGTGGCTCGCTGGCCTGGGGAGAGCTGGGACGTGTGTGGCTTGGCCAAGGTGGCTGCATGGCCTACACAGTTCCACACAAGGAACCCGTGACTTCCACACTGGGGCGCCTGGTGACTTCCTCCATTTCCCAGTGGCTTGGAGAGAATGGCTCAGTTCACCTCTGTAACCAGAAGACGCATAATGGGACAAATCAGCACTCCTACCTTTATTTTTATCAGGTCTGTAGCCACCGCCTACTATTTCTTCAAGATCTTTGTCTGAAAATCCTAGAAAAAATAATATATGCGTATCAATGACAAAAACACATCAGCCATGCATCAGTATGGGTTAATGTTGCCCAGCATTCACAGACAGAATCGCCAGTTCTGCCAAAGGGTACCCTCGAGGCACGAAGAACACAGCTGGGTGGGAGGATCCGCTCAGCACCGCAAGGCCCCAACCTCCATGCTCAGAATAGGAAAGAAACCAGTTCCTTGCTGGAGGTGGAGGGTGCCGGAGGCTGTCTCCTGTCAGTGTCACTGGTGCTGGACACATCCACCCCTTCAGTGGGGGTGGCACCGTTAGGCACATGAAGCCAAGGGTGCTGGCTACTGGGGAGGCTGCAGCAGGAGGGTTACAAGTGCAAGCCCAGCCCGGGCAATTTAGTAAGACCATAGCCCAAAATAAAGATCTGTGATGTAGTTTAATGCAAATTGCCCTGGCCTCAATTCCCAGTACCCACAAAAAATAAAGAAAAAACATACATTGATCAAAAAGAAAGTTATTGTGGGGAGTCCTCCCTTCATCAAATGACTCCTTTAAAAGCAAGTTTTGGCTTTCCCTAAACTCAGACACCAGAAGCAAAGAGTGAGTCTCTTTCTCCCCCCACCCCCACCCTGGTCTGTCTGTCTGTCTCGCTCTCTCCTGCTGGTTCTGAAGAAGCTAGGCTGAAAGGAAATGTACTTTGCCAACAACCAGATGAACTCAGAAGAGAACCCGACCTCGGATGAGCCCCGAAGCCCTGGTCAACACCTTGACTGCAATGTAAATCTCAGCAGCCTACCTGCAAGACAGAGGAAGCAGTCAGAGGGCAAGTGAGTGCTGTCTTACTTCTGGGAGCTTCTGGTGACTTTTCAATGCAGTAACTGCAAACTCACAGAGGAGTCTGGCAGAAGAGTTCGGGGTTCTAGGAGGTGAGATGGAAAGTATTTCCAGGCACAGTGGGCCGAGGAGTGTGCTCCTTGGGTCAGTAGGGTCGGGAGGGCTTTCCAACAGGGTTGTAGGTGCTCATGTGTGTGACTGCACTAGTGATTAAAAAAAGGGCGAGCGCCAAACCTATGTATACGGAGTCAAAAACCTCACGTAGACACTCCCATGCCTTACTTTACACATTAACTGACATCAACTAACAGTCTTTTGCCTACATTTAAGTTTTTAATTATTGAGCAGCACATTAGAGGAACTCTTTGCTAAATGGGACTAGTTTATAACTATCATGTAAGTATTAGCAAGAAGAAATTAGATTTCATAAAACAAGGGAGCAGGTTTTGTTAGTTCAGGGAGTCTAAAGACAGAATTCATGCATGCTAAGTGTTAACTTAATAGGGAATTGGATGGAATCTGGTTTCAGTTGAATTGTTAATTATGTAGAGAAGTTTTAAAATGAGTTGATATGTAATTACTTTGCAGGTGCTAGGGGAAAAATTAGGACCCTATAAAATAAGAAGTAGAACTTACTAGTTCAGCAAGCTTAGGGATCTTTAAAGATTTTTTTATCTCTAAAATTCAAGTCAGCTAGGTGAAAAGTTGGTTTTAGTTAAATTTTTAATTGGGTTCAATCTCATCAATTGTACAGGGTGTGCCTCTTGGGGGTTTGGCAAGAGTAAATCGATACATATATTACGCATGGTTTGCTTACATGAAATAAATTATGTAATGGGTTCATTTAAGACTGGAAAACGGAGGTAGGGAGTTTCCGGAAATCATTCATAGTGAGTTATGGATGTGTGCATGTCATGTGTATAGGTGCAGTTAGTACCTTAGGGTTTTTATGTAATATTCAATATAGGTCCAGGTACAAGTTAACTGACTGCCACCATACCTTGACAGCTATGCTGAAACATAGTGTTCCCCCAAATTAAAAAACACCCAACTCATGACCCCACAGTTACGTGTGATGGAGGGTCAATCGGTCATTAGTCCATTGAGGTGTCTTATTTAAGGGGAACATGCAGTCATCTTAGGTTGAATGGCCCTGATGTAAGAACCAGATGCCAAGTACAGTTTCAGGAGTGAAACCTCCACAGGCTTGGGCTGGGGGCAAGAAGAGGGACACTTCCCTGGCAGGTTGCTGGTTTCACAGAGATGGGAGATTAAGGAACCAAAATTGGAGGCTATATGCATGTTGACGAGGATTGGTCTGACTGTGTGTGCTATGTACCATCAGTGGCATTATGTCCTACATAATACTAATGAAAGAAATGTACTTAAGAATATGCGTATGGTCAGTAACTGAGATGCGAACTAGAGAATTAAATGGGTACATCTTACAGAACAGTTTTATGTACATGATTACAGGCATGGGGTAAATGTCTTGATGTTGGTTAAACACACATTTCATGGACAATAAAACATTTAATATTTAGTACATCATGGATGAGGAAAGAAGCAGAATGCACAATATACACAGGGTGTGAGAAGATATGGTAAAAATAAAGTATTATTTTCTCAATGTTATATAACACTTAACACTGGCCGGCCATCTGAAAGAGGGAGGGTCAGGGAATGGGTTGAGCAGAACTGCACCTTTGGGTGCTGATGGGAGTTCTGGGCTGCTCCCTTGATTTCCCCCAGGACAGTGGTTCCTCTTTCTCATTTACAAGACCAGAGTAATTAGCTCATTCAGAGACAACTCTTCATTTGAGGTACTTATTTCTAACAAACTTGCTAATGGTATATGAATTAGAATAATGGGGCTGGGGGTTTAGCTCAGTGGTTCTGCCGCCTGCCTCACAAGCGCAAGGATCCGAGTTTGATCCCCGGTACCAAAAAAAAAAAAAAAAGAATTAGAATAATGAAGAAATAGTAGATGCTATTTGTCCAATACTGGTGAAGGAGTGTTAACTGGTTGGCCTCTGACTCGTTTAAGCGTAATATTTGCTACTAGGATTCAAAACAGGCACTTGCTTAGTGGGCAGATTCTTATGCCTCATTGTTTATATGAGTGGACTACAGGGCTAACAGCTAGACTCAGGACTGAAATACCACGGCTAATATGTCTCCAAGTTTACTGGGGAGTGATCATAGGACTGTGTGTGTAAATAAAAATACCATTCTGCTTTAACAGGGGCAGTGTTTGGAGGTTTGTGGGTGTACAGTGATCTGGGTCACCTAGAAAGTCAGGGGAGAATAGGTCTAGTATTAGTAGTGCTAGATTTATGAACAGAAAACCTAGGGTATCTTTCATTGGGTGGTAGTGGTGGAATGGAATTTTGTCAGGCCGAATTTATTTATACCAGATGGGTTACTTGATGGAGAAAGAGTAGGTGAATTATTACAAGAGCTACAATGAACAGTAGGATAAAGTGGAATGCAAAACATTATGTTACAGGTGCTTCATCAGCTGAGAATGTGCCTCAGATTCATTCTACCAGGTTAGTTCCCATGTAGGGGACAGCTGATAGTAGATTAGTAGTAACTGTTGCCCCTCGAAATGCTATTTGTCTTCATGGTAGGACATAACCTATAAATGCTGCAGTTGTAAGTGAAAACAGCAGTAGAAGTCCAACAATTCAGGTTTTCAGGAAAGCGGAGGAGCTGTAATAAAGGCATCATCCACATCCAGAAACAGACAAAAATACTGACATTGTTTGCGTGGGGACAACAGATGATTCAGCCATGGTCCGCATCTAGGCAATGAAGCAGATGAGAGAGGTAGTCGTGCCTGCTGTGTAGCGTTTGGCCAGGAATAGTCCACTGATAATTTGTAAGACCAGGCTGAGATGTTTGATGGGGCAGGCAAGTCAATGAATGAATGGTTGACAATTTCAATTAGGGCATGAGTTTTTTGAATGTTGGTCATTAATATTGCTATAGTTGAAATGCAATGACGATTTTTTAATGTTGTTTGTCATGGTTAAATTCCTTGTGGGAATTATTATTATTATATTCATTGTGCTCTTATTAAGTACTTTATTATGACAAATTTTATAAGTTTTTCTTCAAAACCTTTGCCTATTTATGATGGACTGGGTTCAATTTTAAGTGGTAGGGTCGGATGTGTTATTGTATTAAAGTCTGGTGAATCTCCCTTGGGTTCAATAGTATTTTCATTTATTTAGAGTGGTATTACTGGTGTTAGATTATGCTACCATGATAGCTACAGTGAAGTATCCTAAGGCTTGGGGTTCTAGTGTGGTTATTTGAAGTATGTTGTTATTAGGTTTTTTAATGGGATTGTTGGTGGGTTTTGTGATTTAAGAGTATGATGAGTTGGAAATTACCACTGAATTCAACAGTCTAGGAGATTGAGTAATTTACAATGAGGGAGGAGTTGATTTTCTTCACGAAGATGCTGTAGGGTGGCTGCTATGTATAGTTATGGTTGCTGATTAGCTGGCTGATCATTACTTGTAGGTGTTTTCTTGCAATTGAGATTACTCATGGAAATTAAATTACTAGAAATAATGGCAGGATTACAGAGACAACAAATGAAAGGAAATATAGCTTAAGGAAATAAAGTTTATAGCTTTTTGGCCTGGGGTGATAGTTGAGGCAATTATTTGAGTGTTAGAGGTATGGGGGGGCTATTTTTCACCCAGATTAAGCCTACAAGAGTGGATGCTATGTTTTGACTAGTTGATAAGTTTTTATTTAGGTGGTGAATAGTTAGCGGGAAACGTCCTAAGAGGTTACAGAAATTTGGAGTTTTTGAGGAGAATACTTTTTAGGTTGGCAGTCATTAGGTTTAATTCTACTGTGAGGGCAAACCCTAGAATAGTTAGGACAAGTGCAGATAATTTAAGGTAAAGTGGTATGGTTACTTGAGGAATGTTTATAGAATGATGTTATTGGAGATAAAGTAATCTGCAAAAATCCTGCCGACCATGAGGCCTTTTTTTGGCCTTTTTTGTCTAGATGTCCCCCAAAGCCTCATGCAGTTTTAGGCGGGGCTTTTTCAGAGGTGGCTGGATCTAGAGAGTGGGACTGATTCATGGCACAATGCTGGGAGTAGGGGCACTAGGATTAAGGGTGTGGGTGCTGCCCACCCTAAGTATAAATAAGATAA